CAGAAATTTTCTCAGTTTTGCTCTTCTCGGTGTTCTGCGGTCATCTTCCGAAAGGCTGTGACTCGCGAATCAACGAAGACCTGTCACCTGAAGCATTTCTGCACTCTCATTCCTCGAGTTGAGCTTTTGTCGTGGGGTGTTCCGCGCTCTGACTTGTCCAGGGCTCGACTTGTAGGGCCCTCTAAATAAGGGGAAACACCCTAGATCGGCTAATCAGCAAGATCCGAGCTTTCCAACCGATTGAGATTCGTACTTGGGATGTACACATGCCGCGCCGGCATTGACCCTTCAAACTGGGTGAGGGGAACCCCGAGCTCGGTGTCCAGTTGGTCAGCTTCGCGTCGTCGGAGATTATCGACAAGGTGCCGGAAGTAGTGAATCGTTGACCTCTTGCCCAAGATCTCTAACCGAGCTCCATCCAATCGGGCTGCTCCCTCGATTAGATTTCGCTCAGTTGCCCGACTGACGACCATGAGTATTCTGTCAGGACGCATCCGGATATCTGCTGCGCGTCGCTAATTGGAGGCGTGCGATGAGGAGTAAAAATCTCGTCCTCAATCGATACATCATGGTATGGCAAGTCGAGATCCCGAGATCGATATGTTGCTCTGACGGGTTCATGGGAGAGGAATCGAGGGCAGGTTTCCACTTGTGGCGAAATGTCTGCCTAATACGCGATAGACAGATTCTTTTAGCTCAGTCCTGGTCGGTTCCGCGCTCCAGATCGGGCAGGATGACTGGTGCTCGAGTCCGACGAGCTACCGAGGATTCCGAAACATAGAATGGTGAGCCCGCCGCCAAATATGGCGCCGTGGCTTAGTTGGTTAAAGCGCCTGTCTAGTAAACAGGAGATCGTGAGTTCGAATCTCGCCGGAGCCTTCTTTTTGGAGCTTCTCATCGCAAGTTCTATCCGATGAGCGACCGATTCTCTTCTGAATCCGAATATATCTCGATGCATTTCGACAAATATCCTTTAGGATGGAGGTCGCTAATCGATAAGCAGAAGCCGATTTCGTGTATGTATTCGCACTTGGCCGATGCTTCAACCGGTGTACATGATCGGTGACATCCTTGCCCATGCATGAATGACGAGGGATCTCACGGATCGTCAGGAGAAACCCTTCGGATGATGCGGACGACCTTCTAATCAGTCCGATGACACTCCAGTCAATGGTACTCGAAGAGGCCGTGAATGTCAACCATAAATACGTGGATTGGGGTTCAGAGTATACTAATCGACATCTTCCTCCTATTGTCCGTGACTTCGTCCATACTCCGAATCTATGTCGCGAAATCCCGATAGGGATTCTGAGATGTGAGCAGGCTGCGCTGCGCCACCTTTGAGACACTCCTTGGGGAGAGCAAAAGTGTTCTTCATGTGCGAGTTCCTTTACGCGGTGAGGCATAATCGCATATGTGATGCTCGGTTACGACCCTTCATACCTTTGAATCTCCCCGAGGCGAATCCATCGACGTCGGAATCATCGGAAGCAGACCCTCGACGAGTTTATCATATACCTACCTCCTCTCATGAGCGTTTTTCTCAAGTCTTTGAAGGCTTCTCTTTGATCGAACCCCTCAACGGAGGAGCTCCTCCATCTGAGCTTCTCCCCTCTTGAGAGGGCGCTCTTAATGAGAAGGAGCGCACGATCGCAATGACGGCGATCAGGAAGGAAAGAGTTCAGGGAGCTGGATTCCGCGTTACTTGCGAAGCTCGGTGCACGAGCGGAGCTCCTCGGTGTTCCGGTTCGAATCCGCCCCCGTAGACGGATCCTTTTGGACGTGGCCAGCTTTCGCACCGGGAGCTCCTATTTAGTCCTATTGAGTGAGTTAACACTGGAATATTTTCAACGCTCATTGTAAGCCTTTTATTTACGGGCCGCTCCGAGTGTACTCTACATTCGAGCATTCTCTCAACTCCCGACGACATCTTTGGAATATCTACTCGGCGTTGGCCGAATATTGCTGCGCGCTACATGTTCTGGGATTCCATAAACGGATACGTTCTGGGAAATGGGGAGCGATGGGGAAAAATGAGGGACAAAAAGAAGCGATTTAGCCTATCGCCTCGAAAAGATAAGATGTCATCTGTCTTGGGAGCTGTCATCAGCGATTGAGTTAACACCTAGCTCCATAGTCGCATCCATATCGCTCTGCTACAGAGATCTCGCCGCTCAATAAGGTATTGAGAGAGATTCGAGGATTTCCGAATTTTCGGAATCGAACTCGCTGTATTCCACGCCCTGGCCTCGGATGGGACCCGACAAGAGTACGATTCTGAATGATTTTCGCATGGGATGACTCATGTGGAGCGTATGTACCCCAAGCGAGAGAACGCCCCCGCCATGGTGCCAGACTCGAATGCAGCATCTTCCCCGGCATGGATCATGCAGAGTATGAGCTGTCTAAAATTAGCAAGATGATCTGACCATACGAACCGCGAAGAAACTGCACCGTAACCGATGATGCCTCGGAGTGTCTTCGTCTGTGGCTTCTGGCCCTGCCGACAGTCTCATCGACCTGAATTGTTGACTGTTCTGTCACGTCACAACTCACAACTCACAATCTCATGAAAGGATCATCGTACGCGGAGGACAACGAGGTTCTGAATGCATCTCCCCGATTGACTGGCTGAGTGAGTATCGAGCCTGCGAAGTAAAAATACTTCAACTATACCAGCGGTCTTCGATTTCTTTCTGGCACGGGACGCAGAGCCCTCGCGATGCCGTTCCGAGAGTTCGGTCGGTGGCTTTGCCTGACGGAGGATAATATCCACTTTTTCACTGAGCAAGCCCCCCCACTGGGAAGCTCTCCCAGCATGGTAAGAGATTCTGAAGCCTCATGGCTGGTCGATATTCTTGCACGCTATGTCGAAGCTATCTTGTTTGTATTGCCGCTCGGACGATATCGTTGGACACGGGAGTTCAGTCTCGTCCACCGCCGCTGAAATGAAGACTAGCCTTCTGAGCTCATCATTTCATCAAGCATCCCCACTCGAGCGATCCATCCTTTGATCGCCCATTATGCCGTCACTTCCCTCGATTAATACTCGGAAGGGAGAGCGCCTAGGAACACCGGGTGTTGATGGCATCTTTTTTTCCCCCCGGATTTTCCCAATTTGATATTTTTCTTGTCCATGGCATTCGAATGATCCCTACTTATCGGGATGGGGATACATTACTCGGTGAATCATGAACATGAGTTTCCGTTGATTCCATAGCCACTTAGCGATGGATGAATAGGAGCAACTATCCCTTAGCTGTCGCCATCGGCCATACCACGTTGAATACGCCGGTTCTCGTCCGATCACCGAAGCTAAGCAACGTTGGGCCCGGTTAGTACTTGGAAGGGAGACCGCCTGGGAACACCGGGTGTTGATGGCAAATTTTTAATTTTCTCCATCGGATTTTTCCAGTTCAATTTCTTTTCTCTTCATGGCATTCGGATGATCTCCTTTTCTCGGGATGGAGATACATTTCTCAGTGAATCATGTTCATTAATTTCCGATGATTCCATAGCTTGCAGCGATGAA